AAAGGTCTTAGAGATGCTTGCCAGTATGGTTGATTTCATCTTACAAAGTGGATAAGCAATAGTCGAACTGTGCTGGAAACCATTCCTATTGATGAACGAGCCAAAGAAGTAAAAGGTATTGATTTGGTTTCAGACGACTTACCACTTGAGAGAGCACTGGGGGTATATTGGTCAGCAGAGCATGTCACCCTAGGATTCAAGACCATGATACAAGCTAGACCTTATAGCAGAAGAGGTATATTGTCCATTGTAAGTTCTGTTTATGACCCACTTGGGCTTGCAGGACCCTTCATTCTACCAGCGAAGATATTACTACAAGACATGTGTTATAGCAACACTGGATGGGATGAAGATACAACACCTTCAGAAAGATTAAGATGGCAGCGATGACTCTCAGATTTACATCAATTCCAGAACTTTTCTGTAGAGCGATTTCTTAAGCCACCAGACTTTGGTGAAGTGAAATTATATGACATACACAACTTTTCTGATGCCAGCGAAAAAGGATATGTGGTAGCATTCTATTTACGCCTTACTAATGCAGAAGGACAGACACATTGTTCAAGAGTCTCCCCTTTGAAGAAAACTACAATTCCCCGATGGAACTCACTGCAGCAACACTAGCTGTTTGTGTCAATCAGAAATTACAGCAAGAATTAGATTACCCAATTGACAGCACTTTCTTCTGGACAGATAGTCCGACAGTACTGAGGTACTGTGCCAATGAAACCACACGATTTAAAACCTTTGTTGCAAACCGTATTATAATTATTTGAGAAGGTTCTGAATCAGCTTATTGAAGGTATGTTGATACCAACTCAAATCCTGCTGATGATGTGTCAAGGGGAATGACAATGGACAAACTTCTTCAAAATAAGAGATGGATTCATAGCCTAGAGTCCTTATGGAAGTCAGAATCAGAATGGCCTAAGAATGCAGATATATCTAGAAGTATTCCAGATAATGATCCCGAAATCAAAGGCGACGTTAATGTTATGGCCACTGAAGAATCAACTACATACTTCTGAATGGAAGAAGTTGAAGAAGATGACTGGTTGGATCATACACGGTGTTCAAAATCTAAAGCATTGGGTTTCACAGCGCAGGGAATACAGAGAAAACCTGAACAAATCAGAACCAAATATCATAAAACTTGAGTTGCTTGTTGAAGAAAAAATGAAGAGCTTGAAGTACAAGGCTATGATGAAAGCCAAAGATGATGTCAAAGTGACTTTTCTGACCCCTAAGACATTACATTTAGCAGAAACATCAATCATAAGATATGAACAACAGAAACATTTCCCCCAAGAAATCAGCACTCTTCAAAAGGGTTAACCAGTCAGAAAATCCAGTAGGATTTCTAAGTTGGACCCAGTTATGAAGGATGGTTTTCTTCGACTGGGTGGTCGCTTCGGCCGGGCTATGCTGCCATATGATATAAAACATCCCATTTTATTACCAGAGGAGTCACCATTGACGAGCATGATCATTCAAGATATACATAGAGTCCTTGGACATTTGGGAAGAAATTCAGTATTAGCTGCATTGAGACAGAAATTTTGGATTCTTCATGCCAACTCAGCAGTCAGATAGATACTTTCCCATTGTGTAATCTGTCGACGTTATCGTGCATAAATTGGGGAACAGATGATGGCAGACCTGCCAAAGGATAAACTAACTACAGGTGATCCACCCTTTACAAACACTGGAGTAGATTATGTTGGGCCAATAGAGGTTAAGAGAGGCAGAACCACAGTTAAACGATATGATGTTGTATTTACCTGTATGAATATCAGGGCTATCCATCTAGAATTAGCCCATTCACTGGATACTGATTCATGCATAAATGCAATCAGAAGATTTGTTGTAGAAGAGGACAGATCAGGCTCATTCGATCAGATAATGGTACCAACTTTGTGGGAGCTGAACGGGAGCTGTGTGAGGCGATCAATAATTGGAATCATGCCAAAATCGGTACTCAGCCAAAAGAACATAACTTTGCATTTCAATCCCCCATCAGGGTCCCATTTTGGTGGCATATGGGAACGCCAAATCCGCACCATTAGAAAGATCCTATATTCACTGCTCAGAGAGCAGATGATACACCTGCAAACATTGTTTTGTGAAGTTGAATCTATTGTCAACTGTCGTCCAATCAGCAAGGTTTCAAAATATCTTAACGACCTGGGAGCCCTAACTCCCAACCATCTATTGCTACTACAGGCTAATCAATTACCATCACCAGGAATATTCAACAAAAGTGACAGCTATGTCCAACATCGATGGAGACAGGTTCAGTATTTGGCAGATGTCTTTTGGAAGAGATGGACAAGGGAATATTTACTGCTACTACAAGAACGCCAGAAGTGTACAACGTCCCGAAGAAATCTCCAAGTAGGGGATATTGTTTTATTTGTTGATAACAATGCACCCGGAAATTCATGGCCTATGGGTAGATTTCGTGAAGTCATGCAAGACTACAAAGACCTTGTTAGAATTGTTAGAGTAAAGACAAGGATGACATCGCTTCTCCGACCTGTAGATAAGATTTGCATGATCTTAATGGCTGATCAATGATTCAATGACATATTTATCTTAATACCATTATGAAAGTGAATGCTGAGGATTCACTTGCAGGTGATGTACTGGAACCTCTCCCTGCTAGACAAGTATTTGGCTTTATATTATATAAATATTTGTAAATGTTTTGTATCTTACTCAACATTTAGAGGGCCGGAATTTTGCCGCCAAATACAGTGTTATGGCACTCTATTAATTTAGTATAGCGCCATATAGCGATGAAGTGTATTTTCGTTTTTTTAGATACATTAGTCAGGGCGCCATATTGTTTCATGGAGAGAACTGTACTAGTACGAGTTTGTTTCTCGCTCATACACCATGCTAATATTAGATGATTTATTGCTATAATGCACCAATGAAACTATATATTTAGTTACTAGAAGAAGTGTTAACGCCTGGGTTCACCTATTAGTTCGGTAAGAAGCTGAAATTATGTTTTTCGTGAATTTGTGGATGCCGCACATGTAAGTATAACTATAAATAGCGGTGATTTGACATGTTTACCGTGGATAATCTGAAACATTCTAAAGACAAATGACCATACCTTATCTCGTTATTTTAGAAATTATATCTTTGTAATTCTTTGTAATATTACTAGTTTGAGATGATTATTTGCCTGTTGTGATTTTAGTCCTTTATTTAAATATAGCGTTGTTCCATTGAGAGTTTGTATTGTGATACATTTCTGTGTACGTGTTAGATAGCGCCTATACTTATGATGAGGTGTTGTACTGTATTTTTTGACACAGTGTTATACTGTTATTGTCCTTGCATTAGTCTCTGCTTCAGTTTTGGTTTCCCACTTAATTACCGGTATTTGTACTCTGTGGGCTCTTGTACTGTAAACCATTTCGATTTGTGTCAGGGACATGCTTGGCGGGTATAGTATTTGTGCATTTCATGATTTACTTTGAACATTTTTGAAATGTAGCTTATTTCTTTATTTATTCCAGTTAATCAAAGTTCATCAGTCGACAGTTTATGACTACATGAGTTAACTTGATGAGTTATATGGGACAAGTTGAGGAGTAAACGAGTTAGACAACTTAACTAGTCGAGTCATACTATATTGTTTACCAGATGTGTGAATAAACAGCCATTTCCAGACACAAATATATGTTGGTGAACTTTACTATTAATGAAAGGCATAAACTCTACCATTGACAACTAGAAGTGTGTTATTTATAATTGAACAGAAGGTAGCACCAACAACTACACTAG